TCACTTCGAAGTGTGAAAAGGGTTTAAGAAAGGTAACATCTAGCAAGTTAAGTCGGCCACGGGGGTAAATTCTTGAATTCAGGCTCACTTATAGAACCTGTTTGTTGCCAACAAGATTTCTAGCAATTCAAAAGTTGCCATGGTTCAAAGTAATTGGCAGTGATTTCTCTCTCTGTCAAGATTCTTAAAATCATGCTTTACTTAGGTACATTATTCAAAGTATCAACATGCACAATATCTGAAGTTGTGTGTAGCGTGCTTCAAAGGGGTGATAGTCATGGATTGGAATTGTTTCATCTTTCAATCTTGGAAAACGGGTGCATAGTTGCTTATTATATGATACAGTGTAATATGTATTAATACTTTCAACCTTGTTTTATTAGTGCTCTTCGGGCACAAATTAAACATTTAGGCTATGTTTGGTTTGAAGGAAAATGTAAGAAACCTTTACAAACTTTGTATTAGTTTTTCTGTCTTTCCTTTCTTTTTCCTATGTTTTCCTTCAAACCAAACATAGTCTTAGATATCCTTTTAATGTAAGTAAATGCATTCTATTATAAGGTCATGTTTGTGAGTGCTTATTCAAGTGATCACTTTTTTGCATTTAGCACTCAGCTTTTTCAAGTGCTTATTTTAAAAAATAAGCACTTATTTCATCTTGGATGTTTGGTGGGCTTTTTCTCCAATAAGCACTTAAATAAGTAATTGTGACTCTTTTGTCTTTCATTTTCCTTTAAATTTTCAAAACATCCAATCCAAAGTGAATGAATCAAAATACTTTGATAGAAGTACTTTGATAAAAGTGCATCCATAAAATTACTTTTATAAAAGTGCTTTTATTGTGTTTTCGTAAAAATGCTTCTATAAAAGTATTTTCCTAAATGTGCTTTCACAAAAATATTTTCATAAAAGTACTTTTATAAGACAACTTTTATGTAAATGTACTTTTATAAAAATGCTTTTGTAAAAGTATTTTTATAAAATTGGTATTCCAAAAATTTATCATGAATAATTTTAGGAGTAAAAATTTGAATAAGTACTTATTGTATGAACACTTAAAAAAAAGCTGAAAAATTGAACTTAGAAAATAAGTACTAAATAGTGTGATCTCCACCCAAATAAGTATTTATTTCAAATAAACACTTATTTTTAAGCACTCCAAAAATATGGCCTAAGAATAGTTGAAAGAAGCGGAAGAGAAATGCTCACCTACTCATGATGATAGACGTACTGGTCTCCCAGTTTCAGCAGAAGTGAAAAGATAGAAAAGCCAATCCTTTGACTTTCATTATTAAAAGGGTTGCTAAGAGAATAGGTAATTGAAAGTACCAGTTCTTGTCTTGTGCGGGAAGAGAGGTTCTTATGAATAAGTTTGTGGTGCCAGCTCTTCCTGTCTACTCGATGTCTTGCTTCTTGTTACCAAAAGTACTGCTTTAATTAAGCTTGCTGGCTAAGCAGGTTTGGAGGATTTAGCAGAATCCTAACATCTTAATTCTCTTTTGGCTCAAGTGTACAAAGCTTTGTACTTTTCCAAATACCTCTATCCTCTCAAAGGTCACCAAGCGGGTTGTTCCTGGGGGATGGAGGAGCTTGAAAGGGTGCCTTTGGAGGATTAGAAAGGGAACTGCTATAAAATATCTGGGAGGATCCCTACAACTCCAAATTATAAAATTAATTTGGAAAAGCCCCTGGGCCTGGGGTGCTCAATGTCCAAAGTTGGAAGAGCTAATGATTCCTCAATCCCCAAGTTGGAATGGTGATCTAGTTCGTAGTCTATTTCCTCCTAACATTGTTGTGTTGAAGAAATTCTCAAAATCTATTTCCCATCCATTGACTGCCAAGACAAGTTGTCTTGGACTTTAACCAAGAAATGGCTTGTTCTCTATGAAGTCAGCCTACTGGGTTGCTACCTCTTTGGATGTTCACTCCATGGTTTTTAAAAATGAATTGGTGACCGAACCGGTCAAGGGTTCGGTTACCGTTTTAAGGTCCAACCATTCGACTTGAACGGCCAGCCCGTTTTGATAAAAAAATTAAAAAAATGAAAAGCGGTCAAAGTCGTTCGAACGGTTCAAATAGTTAATCGGCCGATTCAACGGTTTTCTGACCAAAATCAATGGTTTTGGGGGAAAATGAAACCAATTTTCTGATTTTTTGGGTCTAACCGTCCGGTCCGGTCCAGTTTTAAAAACCATGGTTCACTCAGAGCCAAGAGCTAGGCAGATGGATCCCCTCCATTCTAAAATCTGGAAGCTCATTTGGCATTCAAAAATTAAATTGTTCATGTGGACAGACTGATTCACGGTGACTCTATATCTCCCCTTGGTGAGGTTTTTCCAACAAGGCAGGGGCTCTTGTCTAGAGAGATTTGGCTTGTTTTCGATGAAATTATGTCTCTCTGTTCGACTTTTAGGACAGTGTCCTGGGTTTTTGTTAACAGAATTTGTAATACAGTTGCACATTTTCTTGCCAACCCTCTTAGTCCGAAGGGTGCTTGGTTGGCTACTGTGCCTCCATGGCAGGGTCCGCTTCTAAGAACTTCTATTGTAAATTGTTTGGTTCCTTTATTTGAATGAGTTCGTTCATAATTTTTTTTTTCTTATTAATAAATATGTATGCGCATACATTTGATTGTTTGAGTGGAGAGAAATTGGAGTTCAAATCAGTCCCCCACAAGACTATGCCCCACATGCACATTTCAACGTGCATTTGAAATATCTCCCGTATTTGTCATTAAGAGATGTTCTCAATGTACGATTGAGGGTCGTGATTTATGGTTTTACCCAACGTAGGCATAGCTGATTTTTGAACCGATATGGTTCCAAGAAAAACTGATCCAAGAGGGTTATAAATTGACCTTTTATCCCCATATCATTAATAAAAATAATTCTTATTTCTCATGAATATATAATATTAAAAATATATTAGCTTATTTTTATTAATTTATTATATTTTTATTTTCATATTTATTATGTAATTATTATATTATGGATTAATCCATTTAATCTTTCTTTTTGTAACAACCTGTTTAACCTCGACCTTGATGATTACAACTTATCGTCACTTAGGTGATGTTTGGCTTCTAAAAAATCAGCGCCATGTTGGAGCCACACGGGATAAATAAGAATAAGTGATTTTCAATCTGTTTGGTTGGTTGATTTTTGCGATTTTTGGGAAATCAACAAAAAAAAATCCTGAAATAGGTGATTTTTAATCTATTTGATTGGTTGATTTTTGTGATTTTTAGGAAAATGGTAAAAAAACGATTCCTAAAATCGGTCCATCTTGAGGGATCAATTTTTGGTGGTTCCCTGATTTTTAGGTGATTTTGATTTTTTGAGGATGATGTGACATCATGTATGTCTCCATGATAAGGATGATTCCAAGGAAAAATAATCACCCCTAAGAATTAGGAGTCTGAATCTGCTCCTCACACAATGCACCTCACACCAACCTCACAAGCACATCTCATCATGTATGGGGGAACATCTCATGTACTTAATGTTATTATTCAAGGGAGATGTTTCTAATACATGGCTGGATGTGCTTGTGAGGTCAGTGTAAGGTGCATTGTGTGAGGAGCATATCCCAATTTGAGAATCAGTACTAGGATGTCAATGGGTTGGGTTAAAATGGTAAACTTAGCTTGACTATAGGGTTATGATACCCGGCATATATACCAAGTATTCTTGCAATTTTTTTACTTCGTAGGCTTAAAGTTTATAATTTATTTACATGTTGATTTTGATTTTCTTCTTCTTCTTCTTCTTTTTTTTTTTTTAAATAGGAAAAGTAAAACCTTATGTTGCATTTGTTTGTGGTGTAAAACATCACAGCCTTAGAATCTATAAAATAATTTCATATTTTAAGTCTTCAAAACATGTAAAAAAAATACATTCAAAATTCTATGGGATCGAGTCTGGTTGAACCCTATAGGTTTGGATCAGGTTTAAGAATCATGTATTTTTAAGCTAAGTCGGCTTGGGGTCGAGTTGGGGTGCTGGAGGGTCAGGTTAGGGTTGAGGCAAACTTGTGTTGAACCCAACCCGTTGACATCCATAATCACTACGTCAGTACCAAACAAACTGCTTACATGACATAAATGATACCAAACAATAAATTTTAGTGATTTTCCAAAAATCACGGATTATGATTTGAAAAAATCTATGATGTGGGAAAGACATGGTAGGCAAAGTTTTGACCAATCAAAATCCACCCACGAATTTTAATAAATTACACCTGATTGATTAACACATTTATGATATTAGTTGATTGGTCCAAAATTTGTAGATATCAAATCTTTCCCTTTATCATTTTGGATAATCAATAAAGAGGAATCATCATTGATGCCAAACATCACCTTAAAGAGAAAGGATTCCATTTCCTTGTCTGTTTAAAAAACACTGATTAACGGCACGCCCACATAACAATCATACATGCAAGAGCTCTTAAGCATTTGATCTACCTGATATTGAGGCACGTTTGGTGGTACCGATGGGTTTTAGCTAGGCGGGTTTCAAAGAGAGAGAGAAAGACCGATGGCAAAAATAGATGAGGAAGAAAAGTGTAGATCGATGAGAGAGAGAACGATGAGGAAGAAGAAGAAGAAAAAGGAGGAGAAAAAAAAACAGCCGCCATTGTTCACCGTGTAGTGCAGGTCCATCAGGTTTGATGCTGTGTTTAACGGTACTAGTGGCCGTTTTGTCAACTTGACGACAACTCGTATAATGATTTGGTTTTAGGTTTTTTTAGGGGATAAGTCGACTGCAATGTACCTCAGAAATTTGAATTGAATTATACAAAATTAAAAAACCTTTTTTTTTTGAAAAATTGAACCCAAAATAAAGGATAAATTTGATATTTCGATTTTCCGTAAGCATTTAACGACGATGACTATGGTTAGAAACGGTAGGAGTAATTTAAGACAATAGATGAATAATAACGATAGAATTTATAAATTAACTAAATAGTAGTAGTGTACGACCAAAAAGCATTCCCCACTTTCTTCGGAAACAAGGAAAAGAGTCGGATGTTATAAATACTCGATCCAGCGTTCAGATCTCCTATTGATTTCTCTTCTCTCGCCAATCTCATCCTCATTGAATCTCGACAATGAGTAACCAAGCTGAATCCTCTGACTCGTAATGACCTCTTACTCTGACCTCTACTTGTTTTCGCGACCGATTCGTCCCTTTCCCCTTTTTATTTAGTTTTTTTTTTTTGGATTTTGGTTGAATTTATCGCATTCTGATTGTGGGTTTTTTGAATTGTAGTAAGGGAACCAAAAGGGATTTCAGTACTGCAATCCTGGAGCGTAAGAAATCTCCGAATCGGCTTATCGTCGATGAAGCCGTCAATGATGACAATTCGGTGGTCTCTTTGAATCCCGAGACAATGGAAAAGTTACAGCTTTTCCGTGGAGATACAATTCTCCTTAAGGTAAAATTTCTATCGAGCGTTCTGTTTTGGTTTGGTTCTTATAGAAGGTTGGGTTCTTAGGGTTCTTTGTTGGTAGAAGTTTGGATTCGGAAGTTTATATCATCTTGTTAAGGTTGAGAATGGTTAATGAGGGATAACGTGATTTTATGTTAGGGCATTCAAAAAACTAGGGCTACTTGGATTCGGCAGTTCTACCAGATTGGGTTGTGCTCGCCAAGGTTGATTATAGGGGTTCATTGGGGTGAGATATTCTACCGGATTGGGTTGTGCTCGAGAAAGTTGATTATAGGGGTTCGTAGGGGGTGAGATATTGGCCTATGTATTGTGGTGGAATCATGTATAGTTCTTAAGATCTATGGTGAAGGAGTTTCTTTTAGGGTTTTCGGAAATTTCTATTAATTCTTTGTTCTCGCCCTCTGATTCTGTTAGTTTTGACATCATGGAAACCTATAAAAGATGACATCATGGAAGGGTTTCAAAGCAGTGAGGTCTTTGCATCTTCAAATGTAACGTCTTTCAATAGTCACATTGTAGGTTTCCAGAATTCTTTTGGCATTTAGTTGGTCTGGACAAAACACCTGTACCTAAAAGTTAAAGATTTTCAGCATAATAGTCTATAGATATGGTAGTCCAGCTCTGTTAGGGATGGTGAGCTTTCTTTCAATTTAGCTTCAGGAATGTGGGATTGAGAATCATGGTAATTAGCTGTGTATTTGTTTGTTTATGTTTTTAGGGTAAGAAAAGACGGGATACAATCTGCATTGCCCTTGCTGATGACACATGTGAGGAACCAAAGATCAGGATGAATAAAGTTGTTAGGTCAAACCTGAGAGTCAGGCTCGGTGATGTTGTTTCTGTGCACCAATGCCCTGATGTCAAATATGGGAAGCGTGTGCACATACTGCCTGTGGATGATACCATCGAAGGCGTCACTGGAAATCTGTTTGATGCATATCTGAAGCGTGAGTTTCTGAACTGCTAGCAAAATAACTGTWTTTTCTTCCTGTTCTCTTGAGTGCATGTCATTTACCTGCTTTTATTTGTCTTACCTGTGACTATGAAATTCTAGACACATTTACATTTTTCTAATAGAATCATGCTTATGAGAAGCTTCTTTTATGCCTAGTTTGACAAAAGAACTAGATTTGTAAGACTTTTGAGGGATGTGTAGTTTAACTACAAGGTAGTTTTTGCAGTGAACTATTTTAGTAATCTCTCCTGTTCTGGGCATGCATTACGTACAATGTGCATGCACATGTGATTTTTCTAGTGCGATGTTAAATTGACTCTCTATCAGGAAATTTTATCATATTTGATTTTGAACAGAACTTCTATTTGAAAGCAGATAATTTAGTTTCTTGCTATCCCTGATTATTATATTAGATATTGACAGTCATAAAGAAAAGTTGTTGATAGGAAGCCTTTCTCTTCTTAACCATTTTAGTGCTTAGTCCGTCTGCCTGTCTTTCTTGAGAAAAACCAGAAACATGAAGCTCCTGTCATGTTCTGCTTTGTCACAAAGAAAAAAAAAGGATTTTTCTGGTTAACTTGGTTCTTCAAAGTGAAAAAGAAAGTTTATTTTCTCTTCTGATTTGAGTGATTACATTTGCAGCTTATTTCTTGGAAGCATATCGTCCGGTCAGGAAAGGGGATCTCTTCCTTGTTAGAGGTGGAATGAGGAGTGTTGAATTTAAGGTTATTGAGACTGACCCAGCAGAGTATTGTGTGGTTGCTCCAGACACAGAGATCTTTTGTGAGGGAGAGCCAGTAAGGAGGGAGGATGAAGATAGGTTGGATGAAGTAGGTTATGATGATGTTGGTGGAGTCAGAAAGCAGATGGCTCAAATACGAGAGCTAGTGGAACTTCCACTAAGACACCCACAGCTTTTCAAATCTATTGGTGTGAAGCCACCAAAAGGAATTTTGTTGTATGGCCCTCCAGGTTCTGGGAAGACATTGATAGCTAGGGCTGTTGCTAATGAGACTGGTGCTTTCTTCTTCTGTATTAATGGTCCAGAAATTATGTCAAAATTAGCTGGAGAGAGTGAAAGTAATCTCAGGAAGGCATTTGAAGAAGCTGAAAAGAATGCACCCTCTATTATCTTTATTGATGAAATTGATTCCATAGCTCCAAAACGAGAGAAAACAAATGGAGAAGTGGAACGGCGGATTGTTTCTCAGCTCTTGACACTTATGGATGGATTGAAGTCCCGTGCTCATGTTATTGTTATTGGGGCTACAAATCGGCCTAACAGCATTGACCCAGCTTTGAGAAGGTTTGGAAGGTTCGATAGGGAAATTGATATTGGGGTTCCAGATGAAGTTGGACGATTAGAGGTTCTTCGTATTCACACAAAGAACATGAAACTCTCTGAAGATGTAWGCCAATGACTAAACCTTGTATCTGCTTGAGTATGTATCTTTCCTTGTTCATATCTGTCAGCGGTTCTATTTAGTTATTGTTATGGTTCCTCCGTGCAGGTTGATTTGGAAAGGATTGCCAAGGATACACACGGATATGTTGGTGCTGACCTTGCAGCTCTGTGCACTGAAGCTGCTCTTCAGTGCATCAGAGAAAAGATGGATGTGATCGATTTGGAAGATGAATCAATAGATGCTGAGATTCTCAACTCAATGGCTGTTACAGATGAGCACTTCAAGACTGCTCTTGGATCAAGCAATCCCTCAGCTCTTCGTGAAACAGTGAGTACAGAGTTTCTAAATGACTTGGGATTTCTGCTTTGGGGTATATATTCTTCTTTCAGATTGTGTTTGGAAGTACCTTAACCTGATTGTTTGATGGGCAGGTTGTTGAAGTACCTAATGTCAGCTGGGACGACATTGGTGGCCTTGAAAATGTCAAGAGGGAGCTCCAAGAGGTAGCGATAAGTCAAATAGCAGGCCTACATTCGTTTCTTTTTGCAATTGCACTCTAGGGTTCTTATTTATACTTTGGTTTTTAATGTTCTATTTGTTTTGCAGACCGTTCAATATCCTGTGGAGCATCCTGAGAAGTTTGAGAAGTTTGGTATGTCACCTTCCAAAGGAGTCCTTTTCTATGGTCCCCCTGGTTGTGGGAAAACACTTCTTGCCAAAGCAATCGCAAATGAATGCCAAGCAAACTTCATCAGTGTCAAGGGTCCTGAGTTGCTCACAATGTGGTTTGGAGAGAGTGAGGCCAATGTACGAGAGATCTTTGACAAGGCTCGTCAATCTGCACCCTGTGTCCTCTTTTTCGATGAGCTCGATTCAATTGCTACACAGGTTAGGGCTTCCCTCAATAAATGTCCTCGATTTGTTATGCTTTGTTTAGGCTTGTTTCCTAATTCTTTGATTATAACTGGCAGAGGGGAAGCAGTGTTGGGGATGCAGGAGGTGCTGCTGATAGGGTTCTGAACCAACTCCTGACCGAAATGGATGGCATGTCAGCAAAGAAAACAGTCTTCATAATTGGTGCCACCAACAGGCCTGATATTATTGATCCTGCACTCCTCAGGCCAGGTCGTCTTGACCAGTTGATCTACATCCCTCTGCCTGATGAGACCTCTCGCCACCAGATTTTCA